GGGGTGTGGGTGAAGGGCACAGGCTGGGGGTGTAGGTGAAGGGCACAGCCTTGGGTGAGGTGTGGGTGAAGGGCACAGGCTGGGGGTGTAGGTGAAGGACACAGGCTGGGGGTGTAGGTGAAGGGCACAGCCTTGGGTGGGGTGTGGGTGAAGGGCACAGGCTGGGGGTGTAGGTGAAGGGCACAGGCTGGGGGTATAGGTGAAGGGCACAGGCTGGGAGTGTGGGTGAAGGGCACAGGCTGGGGGTGTGGGTGAAGGGCACAGCCTCGGGCAGGGTGTAGTTGAAGGGCACAGCTTGGGCCAGTCCTGGCCGCCCAGGAGTCTCAGAACACCAGGGGCTAGGATGTCCCTGAGTCTGCTCTCTGGTTCTCCGTGCAGATGGGGTTCAGAGGGGCTGGGTGTTTCTGGGGCCACCAGCCCTGGTTTTCCTGAACTGTCCCCTTGAGGGAGCCCCTCAGTCTTGGGTGGAAAGCCAGGGGAGGTGGCCTGCTAGCCCCTGCCTCTGTCTGCTGTTCACCCTGCGGGTTCCTGGCCTGCATCATGGTCTGTTCCTGAGCAGGAAGCTGCGTCCGCCTGCTCCCAGAGCTGGCTCTCTCACCTGGCTCCCTCCGGGGTCCTCGTAGCTCAGAATCAGCCCCGYTCTGCAGGTGCCAGCAGTGTCCGCTGCGTCAGGGATGGCAGAGCCCCTCCTGCCCACTGAGGAGGGGGGCCAGGGGCAGCCCCGCAGGGCACACAGGTGAAGGGCCTGCTGCCTTCCTCTGGCTGTGGCCTGGAGGGGCCACCGGCTTATCCACAGGACCCAGTTGGTGCGAGCTGCGTCCCTGAGCCTGGCCCCTCTGCTCTGTTGTGGAGTCTGTCCAGCTCTCCAGGGCTGAGCTGCGGTCACCTCTCCCCTTTGGCAGGAATAGCAACAACCCGAGGATAGGCCTCTGGCCTGAGATTGGGTGGGAGGTGGCTGTTCCCCAGGCCCCTGGTGGACAGCAGGCCAGGCCTGCAGACAAGGCCAGGGGTCAGGGCTACTGTTCCCTCCCCCTTGGCCCAAATGTGTCCTCCCAGGCTAGCTCCAGAGCTGTGTAGCTTACAGAAAGCCCAGGGCTTGAATGAGTGGATAAGTGAGGGTCGTGTGGGCTGTAGGGAGCCCAGCCCTGACGAGGCCCCGCTGCAGGGCGGAGCCCTGGGCTCGGGAGGGGCCCCCTTGGGCCCATTGCCTCTGCCCCACATGGCCCCAAGCCCTGAGGTTTCAGGGGAAAAGGGCAAAGGACAACTCCCAAGCTGAGGGTTTGGGGCATGCTGTCGGAGTCCCAGTAGTGCCTGGCAGGAGGAACAGCATCTGGGCTAGGGAGGCACAGTGGGAGTGAGGGGACCAGTGTCCAGGGTCTGCCCAGTGGGGCACACAGGGCTCTCCTTTGTATCTGCTGCTTGCAGCTGCCCTGCTTGGCAAGTGTAATTGACTCCTCATTTATAGATGAGGAAAGTGCAGCTCAGAGAGGCCAGGCAACCCACCCACTGTCACACAGCCAGGAGGAGGTGCTGGCTCAGGCTCAGTGGCTGCTGCTCAGTAGCCCCATCTGCAGGTGAGCATGGCATCCCCAGGGGAACTGGATCTGAAGGGGGGCTTTGTGGGCTGCCACAGGCATGAGGTCTGCAAGTGGGCAGACCTCTGGGTGACTTATGGGGTTCAACTGTTTTGAGGGACAGTCGAAGGACGGCGGAGACACCTGTTCCCTGCTCATAATGTTCCCTGGAGGCATATCCTGCTTAGGTACAGCTATGGGATCCCTGAGCCTGGGTGTGCAGGATGGGAGGGGCAGGGTGAGGGGAGGGACGATGTCCAGGCCACCAGGGGCCACAATGGCCACAGAAGCCTGGACGTACCACCCATGCCCATGCAGGGGTGCTGGGGGGACTCCCTGGCTAACCCCGGGGCAGGTGCAACTTCCCCTGTAAGGGCAGGTGGTCAGTTCCTTGCTCCCTGGGCCACACTGAACTCTGCCCTCAGACATGGGGATCTGGCATGTCTGTGTCCCAATAAAGCTTTATTCACAAAGACCAGGTGTCCAGCTGGCCCAGGATGACTTACTGACCCTTGTTCCAGGGAGACCGCCTAGGAGCCTAGGAGGGTGGGGGCAGAGGGAGTCCTATGCAGCAGGGACATGTAGGAGGACYAGGGTCTTGACGCCAACAAAGCCCAGATCCCGGCTCAGCTCTGACCCACCAAAGCCGGAGCTGGGGCTGGTAGATGGGGTCCTAGGGCCCCTGGGGCTGGAAGAGAAGGGAGAGGACTCTCACTGCCAGTCACCAGGCCCAAAGGGACAAGGGGCCAAAAGTCACCACCGGCCATGGCCACCTGGTCACAAGTGGCCCCACCAGCATACCTTGGTGGGTGGGAGGAGTGTAGCCTGAGGGTTGGGGTCCAGGAGAGAAGGAGGGGGAGGAAGTGGGACAGTGTAGGCTTGGGTTGGAGGGCAGAGGCACCATCCCAGCAGGCGGCCAAGGAAGGATCTCAGAGAGTGGGCAGTGAGTCCTCTGCCACCGGGCAGGCAAAGGATGAGGCTGCCTTGAGGACTCTCGGGGACAGTGCACGGTGTGGGAGGGCATGCAGGGCGGGGAGCATGTGCCTGCTGCTCTCCCTGCTGCCCGTGGCTTGCCTGGCACATGGCAGGAGCTGTGGCACTTTTCTGGCTTTCAACTTCAGCTAAGGGTCCTGCCTGATCACCACTGGCCGTGGGGTCAACTCCCTCTACTGTGGAGCGGGCAGCTCGTCATTCTGACTGAAGCAGGGACCTTTGACAGTTAGGGCTGTGTCTGGCCACCCTGCAGAGCCAGGCCCTTAAGGAGGCCAGGATGCCGGCAGCGCCTGGCCAGAGCGGGAGGCCCGATGTCCCGCTCAGCCCGGGCTAGCCAGAAGCACTGGACCCCGTTGGCACTAACAAAAGGGCCCCTTTCGCTCCTGCTAAATTATTCATGACCTCCAAGAGGCCGTAAATGTCCTCGGCTCTCTACAGGGGCCATAATTACAATGATAAATTTTATTTATGAAGTCAGTGCCTCCCGCGAGCCGGCTGCCTGGGGGGCTGTACATAAGCCATAACCGAGACGCCCCGAAACCTGCTGCGACAGCTGTTTCTCCGGCTGGGCCTTGGGGGCCGCAGGAGCAGGCAGGGAATGCCAGGGCAGGGGTCTCCGTCTGTCCCCTGACCTGTGGAGGGGGCAGTGTGGGGTCCGTTTGGCTACAGGGGCAATCACAGGGTGGGTTCTGGGTCCAGCCTGGGGGACAGTGGACCTGGGCCCCATGGCGGGTGTCTTTGTCCCCTGCCCTTGGTCCCTGGGCCTGAGGACCCATTGAGGGGGCCTGGCTTGGGCTGCTCCCAGCTGAGCTTGCACACAGCTCACACCCTGAGTTCTCMCACCAGAGTTGTCCCCTGTGCAGGGCTCAGGTATAGGCAGGGCCCAGGCGCCTTGGTGGGCATAGCAGGGCGTGTTCACGGGTGCCCAGTGGGCACCCCTGCATGCTCCTCTCTGCCCCACCAAGCCTGCGTTTTGGCCTCGTGGGCTGCAGAGGACRAGGGCTCTAAGAGGCAGGACCCTGCACCTGGCCAGAGGAGGCTCCTGCTGAGCCTGATGAGGACCAGGGCAGGGGGTGTGGCCTTGCCCCGCCCCTGTGCACGCAGCTGCTGGGAGCAGGTCAGGAGACTCATTAGGAAGATCTGAGAGCCTGGTAGGGCCCCTGCTGGCCTCTGACCTGGGCTGTTGGTTCCAGCTGAGCACATGACCCCTCTCCATCCATGCAGGTTGTAGAGGGATAGGGGGACTTCACGTTGAGATGGCAGGTGGGGCAGGCAGGGGGGAAAAGTGGGACTGCTCCTCCTCATTGCTATCATGACAGCGACTGGACAGCCCAGCCTGGGTGCCCTGTGGCCTTGCAGCCCAGGTGGTATGGCCTTGCCTGGGCATCTTGAGGCTCTGCACCCAGGTATGGCCTGCAGCTTCCCAGACCTTTCTACCCTCTGCCGGGAGCCTCCTGGGCTCTTGGCAGATAAGTCTCTGGACTTGATGGGAACCGCCCACTGGGAAGGAGAGGTGTCCAGATCTTCTGAGAGCTGTTGGCGCTAGGGCCTGAGTGGCCTCGGTGCATGGCCAGGAGCCACACCCCTGGGCCCAGCAGTACCCATGCACGACCTTGCACTGTGAGGGGCCAGACCGAGGAGCAGGGTGAGGACACGAGGTGAGAGAGGGACTCTGTGGACCGCCCAGGGTGCTGACCCCCACGGGCTTTCTTTTCCAAGAAGCCATTTACCTGCAGCCCAGCCTGGTCTGGTGACAGGCTAAGTCACTTTCCTCAGCAAACTACCTGTTAACTGCAGGAGAAATGCAGGCCCAAAATAGTGTCAATGGGAGGAACCCAAGTCACCCTGAAGCTGACCAGATCCTGAAACTCTGGGAGATAAGGGTACTTCCTCCTAACCATAAAGTCTGCACGAATGTATGGTTAAGAATCCAGTTAGAACCAGTCAGTGTGGGCCAGGTGACCTACAGTGGTCATGGCAATGGGGACTTAAAATCTGATGTCCTCCTGCTGTCTGTCAAAGTCAAGAGGGGGACCTGGGTGGGACACTCTGGGGGGGACACTCTTCCCAGGGATCCCCAATAAAGCTGGAGTGCAGGAGAGGCACAATGTCCCTCTCCTCTCTGAGGACCCACTGTATCTCTWGGGAGTGTCCCCTTTCCCTTTCCTATTCCTTCAGTAAACTCATTCCTGCTACTCTGAGCAACGTGGCTGAAATCTTTCTAACTTGGTCTCAACAATCAGGGATGGGGGTCTTCACGCTGCCTCAGTTTCCCAGAAGGCCCAGGGGCCAACTGTCTTCATGACACGGTGCTTGGCCCAGTCAATCCTAGAGATATCAGGGCTGATACCACATCTGTGTGGCGTCCACTATTGGCCCCCCAGGGAGACCCAGGGCATGGAGCCTGGATGTGGCAAAGACGGCAAGCCTTGTCCTGCCCTCTGTAGACCAGGGAAGCATGCAGGTTGGTAAGGGCCCTGGGATGCACCCTGTTGGCCTGGCTACCATCCCTGAGCTTCCTGAGCTACTGTGGGCACTGGCCTGGGGCCTGCTCAGCTCTTTGTCCAGCCTCCTAAGCAGGCCTTGGGAGCCCAGACGCCCTGCTGTGGGGGATGCCCCGAGGGCCCACACCTTGGGCTCCTCAGCATTTATCTGGGAGCCTATCTGTACTTTTCCTCGATGAGTTATGGTTCTATTTCTGCAGCTGAGGGACAGCTCACTTTATTAGCCCCATATCAAGGATCATGCATTTTAATCTCGGCACTGGCCCCGGGAGGGCCAGCTGGATGGATTTTCTGGGCCTATCTTTGTCCAGTACCTTCTCAAGGAGGGGTGCTCATCTTGGTCAGGCACCATCTCCCAGCAGCTGTGGGGGCAGTTTGGATCCCAGGCACTTCTGGGGGAGTTCTGGGCCCAGCCAGGGACGGAGGGTCTCTGATGCCCCCCCTTGCACCCCTCCTGCCCAGCACGACTCCCAACTCCCCTTCCCTGGCCCTGGGTGTGTCTGCCCTCCCTGCTCAGCCCCGAGTGCCTGCCTGGAGCTTCCTCTCTGGGAACCCCCCTGGCCTCGTACCCCAGCATTCCTACAGGTCTCTTCCTGGATTCCTTCTTGGGCCTGTCTTCCTCGGGTCAGAGGCTCCGTCTGGGGGCAAGGCCCGTCCACTCACCCTGTGCGGGGCAGGCTTGGCTGGAGGAGACTCCGGGAGTCTGAGAAACCCTGG